CCCGCTGCTCCCAGTTCAAACCAGTAATGCCCCAGGGCCCTCCCAGTCCCTCCCAGTACAAACCAGTAACCCCCAATCCCATTCCCAGTCCCCCCCAGTCTGTCCCAGTCCCTCCCAGTAAGGCTCAGATCCATCCCAGTTCATCCCAGTCACCCCTCCCAGTGCTCCCAGTTGAGCCCAGTTCAAACTGGTAACTTCCCAGTACCACCCAGTACAAACCAGTTACCCCCAATCCCATTCCCAGTTCCCCCAGTCCCCCCAGTTCCTCCCAGTACAAACCAGTACAAACCAGTAACCCCCAATCCCATTCCCAGTTCCCCCCCAGTCCCTTTCAGTACAAACCAGTACAAACCAGTAACCCCCAATCCCACTCCCAGTCCCTCCCAGTTCCCTCCCAGTTCAAACCAGTATCCACCAGTTCCCTCCCAGTCCCCCCAGTCTCTCCCCCTCATTAATGAGCCCTGTGATTAATGATCCTCATTAATGAGCCCTGTGATTAATGAGCCTCATTAATGAGCCCCAGTGATTAATGATCCTCATTAATGAGCCCTGTGATTAATGAGCCTCATTAATGAGCCCTGCGATTAATGAGCCTCATTAATGAGCCCCAGTGATTAATGATCCTCATTAATGAGCCCCAGTAATTAACTCATCAGTTATTAATCAGCCCCATTAATGAGCCCTGTGATTAATGAACCCCCGTTAATTAACCTCATTAATGAGCCCTGTGATTAATCAGCCCCATTAATGAGTCCCAGTAATTAACTCATCAGTTATTAATGAGCCTCATTAAGGAGCCCTGTGATTAATGAACCCCATTAATGAGTCCCAGTAATTAACTCATCAGTTATTAATGCCCGTTAATGAGCCCTGTGATTAATGAACCCCATTAATTAGCCCCAGTAATTAACTCACCCGTTATTAACGCCCGTTAATGAGGCCTGTGATTAATGAGCCCCCATTAATGAGTCCTATTAATTAACTCTCATCAGTTATCCCAATTAATGAGCCCTGCGATTAATGAATCCCTGTTAATTAACCTCATTAATGAGCCCTGTGATTAATGAACCCCATTAATGAGCCCCAGTGATTAACACTCATCAATTACCCCGTTAACGAACCCTGTGATTAATGAACCCCGGTAATTAATGAGCCCCATTAATTAACCCTCATCATTTATTAACACCCATTAATGAGCCCTCATTAACGAGGCTCCTGTCATTCATTAACGCCCTTAATTAACCTCATTAATTACCCCGTGCATTAAACTCATTAGCACCCATTAATTAACCCTCAGTAATTAACAATCCTTAATTAACCCGGTAATTAATCCATTAATTAACCCAATCATTCATTAAACCCCTTAATTAACCTCATTAATTACCCCGTGCATTAAACTCATTAGCACCCATTAATTAACCCTCAGTAATTAACAATCCTTAATTAACCCAATCATTCATTAACCTCATTAATTAATCTCCATTAAGTAATGTCATTAGCACCCATTAATTAAGTCTAATTAGCCCAAATAACCCATTAATTAACCCTGTCATTAATGAACCCCATAAGTTAAGGCCATTAATTAAATGAATTAATTAACCCCATTAATTAAACACTCATTAATTAACCCCAGTATTTCACCTCCATTAATGAACCCCATTAATGCAATTATTCATTAATCTCCATTAATTACCCCTTTAACTAACCTAGCATTAATTACTCTCTATTAATTACATCATTAATTAGCCCGTTAATTCAAGTGCCAATTAATCCACGCCCATTAATTAATTACCCCGATTAACACCTCCCACTCAATAACCCAACCCCAGTAATTAATTAAACACCCAACTGCGCCCATAATTAATGAAGCCCCCGGTTAATTAATCAAGCCAATTAGCCCCAATTAACGCCTCTAATTAGCCACCCCCACTAATTGCACAAACGCAATTAATTAATTAATTACCACCACAATTATCCATTCTGTCCTTTAGCTTGCCAGGAGTTCATTAACCCCTGCCATTAATTAATTAATGAAATCTAATTAATTACCTGCGGCTAATAGCCATTAATTAATGAACCATTAATTAATACCCCCATTAATCACCCCAGCCCCTTTCATTACCCCCTTAACCACCCCCAAGCCCTTAATTAAACCCAAATTAATTAATTAACGACGCCAATTAATAAATTTTCCTTTATTTACCAAAACCCCCCCGGGCCCCTCCCCCACCCCAAACACCGGAGTCACTTCCGGGTTGGGCCACGCCCACTTCCGCACCAGACCACGCCCACTTTTGAGTAGTGCCGATGTCTTCCGGGTTAGGCCACGCCCCCGCTGCTGGCGCCTCCTGGCGGGCCGGAGGTGCGATGACGTCATTTCTCCTTTGGAGGGGGCCTGGGGGGGGAGGGGGAGGGTGAGAAGCGGGACGGACCAGAATAAACCAGTATAAACCAGTATGGACCAGTATGGACCAGTATGGACCGGAACTGACCAGTATAAACCAGTATGGACCGGAACTGACCAGTATAAACCAGTATGGACCAGAATACACCAGTATGGACCAGTATGGACCGGAACTGACCAGTATAAACCAGTATGGACCAGTCCCTCCTTGTATAGCCCAGTACAGCCCAGTATAACCCAGTATAACCCAGTATAACCCAGTATAAACCAGTACAACCCAGTATAACCAAGTATAACCCAGTACAGCCCAGTATAACCCAGTATAGCCCAGTATAACCCAGTACAGCCCAGTATAGCCCAGTATAAAGCCCATCCCAGTATAACCCAGTATAACCAGTCTAACCAGTCCCTCCCAGTATAACCAGTACAGTCCAGCCCCTCCCAGTCTAATCCAGTCCCTCCCAGCCCCTCCCAGTATAACCAGTCTAACCCACCCAGTCCCTCCCAGTATAACCAGTAGAGCCCAGTCCCTCCCAGTCCCTCCCAGTATAACCAGTAGAGCCGCTCACCGGTAGACGCCGACCACCACGGCGTGGTCCCTCTCGTAGGGCTCCAGCGTCAGCTGCTCCTGCGGCTTCATCCTCTCGGCCGTCATCTTCCTCACCTCGCCCGCGAACACGGCCTCGGCCGGCGCCGTCGAGTCGATGCAGTTCGCCTGGGGACGGGAACGGCCGGCACCGGTTACAACCGGCTTGGGACCGGCCCAGTATAACCAGTCTAACGGTTAGAACCGGGTTGGGACCGGTTAGAACTGGGTTGGGACCGGTTAGAACCGGCTTGGGACTGGATTGAGATGCTTTGGGACCGGTTAGAACCTGGTTGGGACCGGCTGGAGCCGCTCTGGGACCGGTTAGAACCGGTTTGAGACTGGTTAGAACCGGGTTGGGACCAGTTAGAACCGGGTTGGGACCGGTTAGAACTGGGTTGGGACCGGTTAGAACCGGTTTGGGACCGGCTTGAACCGCTTTGGGACCGGTTAGAACCGGGCTGGGACGGGCTTGAGCTGCTTTAGGACTGGTTAAAACCGGTTTGGGACCAGCTTGAACTGCTTTGGGACCAGTTTGGGACCAGCTTGAACTGGTTTGGGGCCGGTTAGAACCGGTTTGGGACTGGCTTGAACTGGTTTGGGACCAGTTTGGGACCAGCTTGGGACCAGTTTGAACCAGTTTGGGACCGGTTAGAATCGGCTTGGGACCAGCTTGAACCAGTTAGAACCAGCTTGGGACCAGCTTGAACCGGTTAGAACTGGTTTGGGACCAGCTTGAACCAGTTAAAACTGGTTTGGGACCAGCTTGAACCAGTTAGAACCAGCTTGGGACCAGCTTGAACCGGTTAGAACTGGTTTGGGACCAGCTTGAACCAGTTAGAACCAGCTTGGGACCAGCTTGAACCGGTTAGAACTGGTTTGGGACCAGCTTGAACCAGTTAGAACCAGCTTGGGACCAGCTTGAACCGGTTAGAACTGGTTTGGGACCAGCTTGAACCAGTTAGAACCAGCTTGGGACCAGCTTGAACCGGTTAGAACTGGTTTGGGACCAGCTTGAACCAGTTAGAACCAGCTTGGGACCAGCTTGAACCGGTTAGAACTGGTTTGGGACCAGCTTGAACCAGTTTGAGCCTGTCAGAACCAGTTTGGGACCACTCTGAACCAGTTTGGGACCAGTCAGAACCAGTTTGGGACCAGTCAGAACCAGTTTGGGACCAATCAGAACCAGTTTGGGACCAATCAGAACCAGTTTGGGACCAATCAGAACCAGTTTGGGACCAGTCAGAACCAGTCAGAACCGACTTGAGCCCAGTTAGAATCAGCTACAACTGGTTTGAGCCCAGTTTAAACCGGTTTGGACCCGGTTAGAACCAGTTTGAGCCTGGTTAGAACTGGTTAGAACCGCTTTGAGACCAGTCAGAACCGGCCTGGGCCCAGTCAGAACTGGTTTGAGCCCAGTTTAAACCGGTTTGGACCCGGTTAGAACCAGTTTGAACCAGTTTGTTCCATGTCAGAACTGGTTTGAGCCACTTAGAACCAGTTTGATCTCAGTCAGAATCAGGCTGAGCCAGTTAAAACCCCGTTAGAACCGGTTTGAGCCAGCTAGAACTGGTCAAAACCAGTTAAATCCCAGTTAGAACCCAATTAGAACCGCTTAGAACCAGTCTGAACCAGTTAAAACCCAGTTAGAACCAGTTTGAGCCAGTTAAAAACCAGTTAGAACCAGTCTGATCCCAGTTAGAACCAGTTAGAACCAGTCTGATCCCAGTTAGAACCAGTTAAATCCCAGTTAGAACCAGTTAGAACCAGTTAAATCCCAGTCAGAACCAGTCTGATCCCAGTTAGAACTGGTTCAAGCCAGTTGCTTTCAAATGCTGTGTACTGGTCCGTACTGGTTTATATTCGTCCATACTGTCTGTACTGGTTTATACTGGCCCACACTGGTCCGTACTGGTTTATACTGGTCCATACTGGTTTGAACTGGTCCATACTGGTTTATACTGGTTTATACTGGTCCATACTGGTTTGAACTGGTCTGTACTGGTCCATACTGGTTTATACTGGCCCATACTGGTCCGTACTGGTTCATACTGGTTTGAACTGGTCCATACTGGTTTATACTGGTCCATACTGGTTTATACTGGTCCATACTGGTTTGAACTGGTCCATACTGGTCCGTACTGGTCCATACCGGCCCGTACCGGTCTATACTGGTCCGTACTGGTCCATACTGATTTGAACTGGTCCGTACTGGTCTATACTGATTTGAACTGGTCCGTAATGGTATATACTGGTCCATACTGGTTTATACTGGTCTGTACTGGTCCGTACTGGTTTATACTGGTCTGTACTGGTCCGTACTGGTTTATATTGGTCTGTACTAGTGCATACTGGTCCGTATTCGTCTATACTGGTCTGTACTGGTTTATACTGGTCCATACTGGTCCGTACTGGTCCATACTGGTTTATACTGGTCTGTACTGGTCCGTACTGGTGGAAGTGCCCCGTACTGGTCCATACTGGTTTATACTGGGCGGTACCTTGATGGAGATGAGGAAGTGCCCCGTACTGGTCCATACTGGTTTATACTGGGCGGTACCTTGATGGAGATGAGGAAGTGCCC